TCGATTTTGCTTTCGATATTTTTTCGATTTTGATATCAATATTTTCATCGATTTCTTTATCGATGTTTTTATCGATTTTGCTACCGATATTATTATCGCTTTTGTTATCGATATTTTTTGCTTAGTGTGTGCTTTTGTTTTTTTACTTGGATATGCTCTTAACCATACCACGTATTCTACGTTTAAATTTAGCGGCTGTATCTCCGATACAGCCTGCAGGCCAAGACGAAGGCGCTGGGCTGTTCCTTTTTTTTTGGGTAAATTCAAAGCTTTTAACGCGTGTTTTGAGTTTTAAGAGATGCATGAGCTTGAAGAGGTTAAAGTTTTTCTAGGCATAGCAGTGAACTGTTATTTTCATACTCCTACATATATTTACAGCCATAACTGGGCGGGCATGTCGCTGTGGTTAAAAGAAAAAACAATGTGGCATTTTAAACGTGGCTTATTACCAACTTCAAACTTTTGAAAAACTAAAATACATAAATGTGGTAAAAGAGAGAAAAGCAAGCTGATGAACACAGTAACTCCACAAATTTTTTGTTCGTGTACTATGTAATATACGTACATTTGATTTGATAATCCGAAATGGAAAGCAAAAGTTAAATACATACATATGTATGTATCTACACACATGCGTTATTATGTATGTAGTGTGTTTATTTAATATTTGCTTACCGACGAAGTGTGGAGAAAGCGTAAATTACATATTTATATATGTACATATGTGTATTATGTTATTCTGGACCTGTTCGTAGATATATAAGTAGGTACATATGGCTATTAGCAACGGAAACGGATGAAATATTTCTCCTCCACTTTGCACGAAGTGCATTTGTTGTTGTTGCTCGAAAAATAACGTGATTTTAATTTCACTTTCTAAGGTTAACAGTTAGAGTAATAATAAAATAAAAATAAAAAATTATAACAAAGTACTTTTAGTTGCAAGTACCTACATAGCTCCCACAATTTACAAGACCTTGAAATTTTAAATTAAGAGTTCTCTGAGAAACCCCAATATTAGGATTGCTCGTGCTACTTTGGAATTTTAAGAGACGTCGAATTTGTGGCCTGAACAAGTTAAACTGCAACAAGTGTTAATAATGACATAATAAGAAACACACTGCACAAGTCTCCAAACGTGTATTAATTAAACATTTTTTTAATTTTTGGTATTATATACTAAAAATGATCATAGCAAAACCAAATTTTGTTGCAAAACAGCACAGCCAATATTCCCATATGATTGACATGAGCCTTTTGTGTTTTCACACAAACAGAGAATTTTGAGTTAATAGACTTTTGAAGAATGTCTGCGTCATGATTGCATATGATTAGTCTGAATATCTACTTGGTCAATGCAGAAAATACAACCAAATACTTGATCAGATGCATAAAATTAGCATAAATTTTACTTTTTAAACACTAGGTGCTCGTAATAAAACGTTGGTACCTAATCTAATGACATGACTTAACGTGGAATCCTTGCTGATCATAACATTCCGCGAAAAAGGCTAATTGGTCAAGCCACTATCTCATATAAAAGCAACTATCATATAAATTAAAATCAGCATTATTAAACACACTAACAAAAAACAAAACTGAAGCAACAACAAACCCAATTTACTGATACGAATGGATGACGTTGACAGTTTTTTCTAATCTACCGTGCGGCCAGTCAGTCAATGCCGCTGCCCTCATCTCTTTGCTTTCGCAAATAGTTCGCTAATAACTGCGATGGAAGACATTTTATCCGTTACGCTGGTGGACACTTTATATTAATAGTTTCACATCACAATAACTTTTTGCCCTTTATCTAGATATCTTATAACAACTTGACCCATCGCTGTAGGTTGCAAACTTTTTGACCATTTTACCTGATCCGCCACATCCTCCGTTTTCGAAATGTACTCGTTGGGGATATTCATCTTTGTTTGTGTGTATAATTTTCGCTGCCTTTCCGGAACCTTGGCTCAATAGAACAAATCCTTATACTACGGCTTAATATCAAAAGCCCTGCCTTATTTTATAATATCGTACTACTTTTTTATATTTAAATTAAAGAAATGTTAACAAAATCTCAAGAAACACGAACCACTTAATACACGAACTACGAAAACGAGACAAATGTTGAAAGAGAACACGTCGCTGCTGATAGTGTTGCATTTGATGTATTTGAGTAGTGTTGAAAACGATAGTTGTTAATATTTTTTTTTTATTTTTTAGAAAAATTCAGAAACATTTATGAAATGGTTTACTATATTTTTGAAAAAATTATTTCCAGGTAATAGTGGAGAAAATTGTTTGAACAATTTTAGCAATCGGCGTTAGCTCACAGCCCCACAATACATTAGGGGTCTTCACACCGAGCTTGGTGCTCGGTAGCTGTATATTCGTTGATTTTCCCCATGTATGTATGTACATTGTTTGTTTAAAATTACTTTATTATCGGTTTCTAGAATTATCGTGGTGACAAGCTTAATATTTTTTGGTAGTTGGGAGACTGCAATCAGCTTTTCGATATTTATTAAATCCTCGCGCTACCGAAAGACATAACGCATATGACTGGCCGTTTCGAACAAATAAAATTTATTGCTGTCCAGCTGTTGTTGTAGCGGCACTACTAAGCCCCGCCTAATTCGGTTCATCCTTCAATCATTGCCGTCAAGCTCAACTAACTGTAGGCCCAGGAAACGCGCTATTTCAACAGGGTCGGATCAAAGTGAGAGGGGTGTCAGCTGAGTAGGGTTGCGCTGGTGGTTGGTGTCGTGCGGAAAGACTACACATGCCGGACACTTATCGGGGATTTTGGGGTCGAGTCTGGACAAATAGCTGTTGGGGCGACTACAGTATCCAGGTCGTAACTCACCCAGGGTATCGCGGGTCTCTCTTGGTAGTTGAAGCTTCGTCACTGCAACAGGTGGTGATTGGGCTCCGATCACGGCATTCATAGGCCGGGAGTCGTGGTAGGTGGTGACCGACTCCCTATGAATGTCGTTGATCGCTCGTAGGTTCGTCTCCACAATCCGGACACTCATTGGGGATATTGGGGTCGAGTCTGCGCTGTAGCTGTTGAGGTGGCTACTGTAATCAGACCGTAACTGAGCCAGAGTAACGCCGGGCTCTCAGATATTGATTGGGCTTGTTGCGGCTCTGTACTTTGTTGACACCTGCGGTTATGTGCGTGGAGAAGGAAAGCAGGCTAGCAAAGGTGACCGCTAAAAATTTCGGGTTGTTTACTGTCGGTGTTGGTGTGCCATCGACGTGATTGTGTGCGTGGAGAAGGAGAGTAGGCTATCAAAGTTGACCCCTAAAATTTTCGGGTTGTTTACTGTCGGTGTTGGTGTGCCATCGACGTGAATGCCTAATTCTAGCCTGATCTCCTTCCTCCAGGTGGTGAAGAGGATCGCCGTTGATTTCGCTGGGGAGAGTGTTAGGCTCCTTGCGGTGAAGAAGCGAGAAAGGCTGGAGAGATAGCCTTTTGCTTTGGGGAGAGGCCATTAATTTCATTCCCAGACGACAATATCGAGCAGTCGTCAGCGTATAAGATCAGAAAAAACTCCCTCGGGTGGCTGGGGGAGCTTCGAGATGTATAAGTTAAACAGTAGCGTGGGCAGAAAATCCGCTTTTTAAGAATTTTGATTGGTAATAGCAAAAATATGGATCATTATGCTCTAAAAAATATCTGTGTGAAGTGTGAAAATTTTTGGTCAATATCCTAGGTTCGCCCAAGTCCATCAAAGTTCAAGTACTTAAACAAATTTTTTCCTTACCTTCTCTTCAAAAAAGGTCCATATACCAAAAAAATGTATTAATCAATTTATTTATTAATTTTTATTTTTTGAGCATATTAAACTTTGATGGACTTGGGCGAGCCTAGGATATTGACCAAAAAATTCCAAATTTCACACAGGTTTTTTTTTTTAAAGCATAATGATTCATATTTTTGCTATTACCAATCAAAATCCTAAAATGGCGGATTTCGGCCCACGCTATTAAACAGTAAGTGAGAGAGTATACCCCCTTGTGGAATCCCTTGACAAAGAGTGTTGCCCGAGCACGAGCAACTCGGTGCCCTTCCCTCTTCCTTGTCACTCCCTCTCCTACAAGTAACGAGTTGCCGCGACAAAAGTTTCTCTGTCTGAACCTAGACTTATGATACTACTTCCAAGTAAAAGTGAAAGTACATAACGTGAACATGGCGGCCAGAAAATCTAAAGATTTTTAGGGAATTCGCTTAAACTCGTAAAGTCTTAAACTGTGTAAAACTTGTGAGTTTACGAGTCTTTTATGGGAACGCCCCCTTTGTGAAAAGGTGTAAATAATTGCGTAAAGTCAAGAATGATAGAATACAAGATTGCGCATTTCTGCGGGTAATGACGTCACGTTCGCAACGAATAGAGGAGATGGAGGAGACAAAAAAGCCGGCGACCACCAGTTGTAAACAAATCGTGGTTGTGTTCATCTACTTTTTGAACAGAAAATTGAAAATCGAAGAAAAATTTAATATTACGCCCAGAAACAGCGAAATAAAGAAGAATAATGAAACACCAAGCTAGTAAAAATTAGTAACGCGAGTTCTTAGCAAATTGTTTATGCATTTTTCTATAGTTAAAAATGCTCATTCCTACGAGAACAAACTTATCGCAGACAATTTTATGGTGACGTCACACGAACAGTTGATTCTGAACCAAAGTAGCGGTACTGCTGAATGCGCCACCTCTGTCTTTCTACATCGTGGCGTAAAGTGACTGTTTGACAAATCACACAGAATTTGTGAAGCAATTTTTGTTTCGTAATATTTTCCATAACATCGCGCCATCTTGTCTCTATCATGCTTGGCTAAAATACAATCAAAAATGCCAAAAACTAGCAAAAACCCTAAATCATTACAGCTTGTGGATGAAATTCATTCATTTTAATCGTTTATTTTTATTATTTTACCATACATTTTAGTATACAAATGTCGGCCCTCGGCAACACTAAAGTGTACGAGGTCGTTTGCGCATCAAATTTGCCTCGTAATTTTACGAGGGCCTCGTAAATAGAGCTCCATAAAAATTTTTACAGTTCTTTTACGAGGCTCGTAAATTTACGAGCTTTTCGAGGTTTTCGAGGCTTTTACGAGTTTAAGGGAAGACCCCTTTTGATTTTTGTTCAAATTTCCCCAAAAGGACCCTGTCACACGGTATCGCGATCCAAATTGATGGATTGATGAATCGCGCACGAATGCTACATGTTCAATATTTATCGCGTCAGTATTTACATAATTTTTGTGCTGACGCAAGAAAATATTTTTATTTTGTGCGTATAATTTACAGATAATGCATTCCACAATCATTTTAAAATTTCCAATGTTAATTAAAATTATTTATTTTGGAACGAATTTCCGTCATCCCTTGTCAAGTTTGGTTTGCAGACAAACCGGTTTCGGCGTTTCGAGAACGAAAAATGACACTGAAGATGGCACAACGCCGAAACCGGTTTGTCTGCAAACCAAACTTGACAAGGGATGACGGAAATTCGTTCCAAAATAAATTAATTAAAATTGTTTGAATTTCTTTTGAAAGGTTTTAAGCACCGAGAACAAAGGCAGAGCGAATACGTTTTCGATGTTTGCATTATGAGAGTAAAAGATGAACTGACGAAATGTATGAATTGCGTTTTGAAAGTGCTACGCGTTCATTATTTATTTACGGTATTGCGATCTGCCATTCAGATTTTAAAATTTCATCAATACTGCATGCTACACCGTCAATGAATATCGCGATACTTGTATCACGTCAATAAATACTGACCGTGTGGCAGGGCCCTTAAAGGAAAATTTCGACATGTTTCCCAAACCGCTTGTGTGGTGTTGGTGTATTTGCCTCTTTAAATTCGTGTATACACAATGTGAGCGTTCGGAAAAGACAACGAAAAGTGGAAGCGAAATCGACTGGAATGCACTACCGGAAGTATAGGGTGATAAACACTGGTTTCACCCTGTTGCATTTGGTCCCAACCCATATATTAGAGTTCCAGTCCATTTTCGATTATTCTTTTCTTGTGCTTGTGGAGAGTAGGTGGACGTGTACGTGTTTGCGTTTTATTAAGAAAATTTAATTTGAAGCATATTTTAATTGCATAACTTAGTAGCAAAAACATTGAAAAGGCAATTTTTGCATTGAACATAGAGGAAGGTAAGTTCTTGATGCAAAATATATCCTATTTTTAAGTTTTAAAGCCTTTGAAATGGTACTAATTATATGCAAGTCGTGCACTTCATGTCCGCCATTTTGTTTTTTCTGTACATGGAGAAAATTCCACGCCTTCATTTTATTTGGTGAAAAAATTGGTTATGCATATCTTTTATTTCTAGTATTTTCGTTAAATATCGGATTAGAGTCACATAAATATCATATATCAAATATGCCGCGCTATCGAGAGTGGGACTTGGCATGCAAAGTATACGTTGGTAATTTAGGTTCATCTGCTTCAAAATATGAAATTGAAAATGCCTTTAGCAAATATGGCCCGCTGAGAAATGTCTGGGTAGCGAGAAACCCACCTGGATTTGCTTTTGTTGAATTCGAAGATCGCCGCGATGCGGAGGATGCAACTCGAGGTTTGGATGGAACGTAAGTAGTCATATAAAAATAGGACACACCCATTTTATTTCAATTTATGGTATTACAATTAATGATTATGCATGTACATATATATGTTGCAGACGGTGCTGTGGTACTCGTATCCGTGTGGAAATGTCGTCGGGTCGGTCACGACGTGATGATAGACGCCGAGGTGGCGGTGGTGGTGGCGGAAGCACCAGCGGAGGTCGCGGTGGTGGACGCTATAGGTAAGTACAAGACCGCAAAAAATTTGCTGCGCAAAGTTATGGCTTTATTGATTTATATGGTGGCAAGCAATATTGGGAAAGTGCCTTGAGCGAGCCAAAATTTTCTTATGGAGGTTTAGTATGTACTAGTAGAAAGGCGTAATTTAATGATTGTTAGAAAATCTCTTGCAATGTGGTCGTAAAAAATGTCATTTATGTATGTATATGTAGTTGGTTACATGTATTGAAACGGATTGCGTATGATCATTTTTCTTATTCATTAACCAAATTGACTGATAATCCAGGAACGTGGAAAAAATTTACATTTACAGGCCTTCAAAGCCAAATAGTAGGGTACCATTTAGGGATATTCTGTATTACACATATTTTACGTGTTTTTTATCTAGTTTTTTTTGTTAAGGATATTGAAAGAGATTTTAAATCTAGTTTACGATAATCATTTTGCAGGATAAAGTCTACTGCTACTACTACTTCTACTAGAACTTCTACCTCCTCTTCCTTCAACAAAAACTACAAAAACAACATCTTCACGTATCACAACTTATGCTCCTTCTCCACAAATCTCACCACGACAAGCAACAACAAGCTCAACTTAATATCGTTCAGCGACAACAATCTTGATAATAGAAACAATTTTATCAGCCAGCTATTTTTTTACAAAGATCAACAAAATTTCGACAACAACAATTTTAGTTCAAGCGATTACCATTATTTTCAACATCACCAAAAACAACAACAAGAACCGCCACAACACAAAAATTGCATCAGTAAAATTAAAATCATTATTTTTGTTATCAACACCGACACCTTGAACACCACCAACACCAACGTCACTACAATTTTGCACCTAAAATTTGCTCTCGTTTTCGCTGTAGTAATTGTCATCAACACCTATCTAACAATTGTTGTTGTCGTAATAGAAAACTGTGACAGTTGTCCTGATGTTAAGTGCAGTAAAAGATCAACAATCATTAGAACAGCAACTACTAGTACAATAACTACTGCTACTACTACTACTACTTCAGCTGCAACTGCTTCTACAGTCACTGCAACTATTGCTACTAGAAGAATTAGTGCAACTAGTAAAAGTGTGCTTGGGCAGCAGGCGCAGGATCAGCATCAGCGGCAAAAGCTAAAGCATTTACAACAGCCATCATCATTAATACCACCAATACCACCTTAACAACTTGAAATACTACCACTTCCTTCTCCTTTGTATATGCAACTGACTGTGATATGAGCCCACAACACTACTACCTACAGCACAACAAATACCATCACCAACAACATCAACATCGACTTGACAATAAATGCACGCTCATGAGATAACTGATTAGATAAGCTGATCAATGTGCTTGGTCGGTAATGTATGTATGTTTGTAGTCACTATCAGCCCGGGAGATGGTCCTAAGAAGAGGGTGACTTATGTGTACCTTGTAATTTCTTATGCCCGCAGAACTTTTATTTTATAACATTTTCCGTAATTGCCTATTGAATACGCATCTTATTCATCACTTTTGACTTGAAAGGTGGTCGACGATTCACGATGAAATTTGACTAAGAACCTATTTAACTTAACTAAAATGAACATTTTACTGACGGTACATTGGGTCGACAAGACGTACAGATTGTACAAACAAATTTTCAGCCACGCCACCGAAGTAATGTTGGTTTTTATTTATTTATTTTTTTGAAATTGCAAAAAAAAAAAAAAAAAAAATTGAAACGCCATTAATTCGGTTGAGTGAATACCAATTTATACTTATACACATACTAACTTTGAGATGGTCGACGGGACTGTTGAAGAAGAGAAAACATCGCGAATAACNTTTCAGCCACGCCACCGAAGTAATGTTGGTTTTTATTTATTTATTTTTTTTTGAAATTACAAACTTATACACATACTAACTTTGAGATGGTCGACGGGACTGTTGAAGAAGAGATAACATCGCGAATATGATTTATTTATTATACATTATAAATGTGCATGACAGTTGTGAGCGTGATGATTCTTCAATCAATCCACACCTAATCGCCGTTTTCAACTTTATATGATATGAATTTATTTCACTAATCCTGCAGTCGTCACTACTGCAAATGTATATCTCCAACATGAGTTCGGGCTATATTTCAACATCAGAAATGAGTATAATTTAGTATAAACCTGAATCAACGAGACGAGTTTCGAGTATGTTGAGAATCGGTCCACTTCTTATATAGGAGGTAAGGGTGGGTGTGCCATCATGTACATCGTTTTTGACATGAGAATGTGCAAGCGCCGTTTAAGTGCATCAAGAACGAATGAATACGAGTGCTGCAATTTCAAGTAAGAATAACTTCTTTCAATATTAGATACATACTGCATAGTTCTCTTTGTTACTAATATCATAATTCTATTGAGGTTATTTCAAGTTGTGTTTAAAACATTTTACGAAGTTAAAATTTGAAATTTTCTTGATAAAATTCTATCCACTAATTGTTAATTCAATTGAATCCGAGCAGGTGAACTCAAAGCAATATCAGCTCGTTAATCACCAATCGCATCTGCAACACCTGTTTCTACTAAATAAGTGAAAACGTGTGCTCTTCTCAGCAACAACTATCTACTTGACATCCGCCTTCTACTATGGTCGTCCTCCTGTGCGGTACACGGGATCGTACTTCATTTGGTTAGAATTGCATCCATTTTGGGTTAGCCGGCCGATCGGTTAAGCCTNACTACTGCAAATGTATATCTCCAACATGAGTTCGGGCTATATTTCAACATCAGAAATGAGTATAATTTAGTATAAACCTGAATCAACGAGACGAGTTTCGAGTATGTTGAGAATCGGTCCACTTNTTTCAACATCAGAAATGAGTATAATTTAGTATAAACCTGAATCAACGAGAGGAGTTTCGAGTATGTTGAGAATCGGTCCACTTATATAGGAGGTAAGGGTGGGTGTGCCATCATGTACATCGTTTTTGACATGAGAATGTGCAAGCGCCGTTTAAGTGCATCAAGAACGAATGAATACGAGTGCTGCAATTTCAAGTAAGAATAACTTCTTTCAATATTAGATACATACTGCATAGTTCTCTTTGTTACTAATATCATAATTCTATTGAGGTTATTTCAACTTGTGTTTAAAACATTTTACGAAGTTAAAATTTGAAATTTTCTTGATAAAATTCTATCCACTAATTGTTAATTCAATTGAATCCGAGCAGGTGAACTCAAAGCAATATCAGCTCGTTAATCACCAATCGCATCTGCAACACCTGTTTCTACTAAATAAGTGAAAACGTGTGCTCTTCTCAGCAACAACTATCTACTTGACATCCGCCTTCTACTATGGTCCTCCTCCTGTGCGGTACACGGGATCGTACTTCATTTGGTTAGAATTGCATCCATTTTGGGTTAGCCGGCCGATCGGTTAAGCCCGATCATGAGGCCGTTGTACATCATGCTACACAGCGTTCCAACAATCCAGCTTCACTCCTGATCTACAAGGTCGTCAGCCTAAAAACCCGAACCCACATTTCATCAAGGACAACAGCAACTCTACCTCTCCGCTGATGTACAAAAACGAGTGGCAATCCAAATCAAGGCTTTTATATCTACTTTACCATCCCTGTCATATCCGCTATGCGCAACGACCGCTTCTGAGCATCATTGTCACTGACGACCGTCAAGTTTGCATACAAGATTGTTTTGTCAATAGTTGATTTGCAATTTTCATGATCTCCTCTCATTTTCATTCGAAGTAGTCATCATAGATCAGTTGAATATCGAACCTATTTCATTATCACCAAATCGCCACAACCACTACTACTACTGCAACACCTCAACAAATCAGTCAGAACCAATAAGTGAACAACTAAATTGGCAACATTTATTCGTGGTAGGAATTTCACAGTCAATCAACAGTAATTCTCTCTGCCCCAGAAATTCTGCAATCAGTCGACAACATAAGAGCGGCTCGTCATTTTCCGGCTCAACAAAGCAGCATTCAGAACTTTTAATTGCATTAGCATAATATTGAAAATACAAAGAAAAATGCAACTTCATCGTTTTCGGGGTTGAATTTATGGCCAACAGACCGTAAGAAAAGACAAACAGTTTCACCATAAAGGTCGTTGAAGTTGAAGCAACTACTGTGGTGCTACTGGTTGGATTAATGTGAAACAATAATTCGAGCGAGCAGTGTGGCTAGAAATTATTGCAAAATAATATGCAAGTCACTCTCAAACTGTTGTAGTGGTATGAGTGTGGCAATTATTTTTGTTTTAATATTTTGCAATAAATTGTATTTCCTGCCCCGCCAGAATTACTTGTTTGAACAATAGCCAAAGATTGGTCAACGCTTTTCCTATACATCGTCCTATACATAATGCAAATTTGCCTTTCCTGAAATCCTGTCGGCAACGATGAACATCATAATTCTCATCGAAACTATTAAAAAAAAAAGCTTACAAAATAAGCCCATCTAAAGTGTGGATTTTGTGATTATGTGCTTCCTTATAAATTATTCCATTCGACATTTAAATAAACTTATTTTTCTTTTTATATAACAATTTCTTACAGATCTCGCTCTCCACGTCGCACACGCAGCCGTTCCCGCAGTTTTTCGAGAGACAGGCGCAGCCGATCGGACTCCCGTGATCGTCATTAGATATAGAATTTTTAAATTTCTCAAAGTGAATTCCCAAAAAGAATCTATTTTCTTTACCCAATATCTACATTTTATTATCACATAGAAAGAGAGAACTTATCATAAAGTAAGTTTTAGATTTTGAGAGTTAAGAAGTATAAGTGAGAAGATCCGGTTGCAGCATGATAGAATGGAAGTTTTGTTTGCGGCAAATAAATGCAAATATTTGCATAGTTTTGAATTTCTTAGTTATATAAATGACGTGAACAGAACCACCACCACATCGGATCACTAAACATACAATCTAGAAATCCACCAACATACTTTTTCTCAAAAATGCACCAATCTAAGGTAAATTCTTTAATTTTTGTTCTAGCAATTTACCAAATTGTACGTACGTTTGTGAATAATTATGGAAACCCATATTTTTAAGTCTTGCTAATCTTAAAAGTACAATAAAATAAAGATAGACATATAAAATAAAAGTAAAAAATACACTTCTTTAAATATGCCTTATTTAGGGTCCATGAACTCATATAAAAGCGTTGGAAATATATTTACGTAGTTTCTTTTTTATTCTCCTATTATTTATTGATTTCCTAATTTTATTTAATAAGTTTTTGCAAAATTCTTCTGCACCATGCACAGTGTTATGGCTCATGGTATATTATTCGTTTGGGAAGTAGGTCTACCGCTGCTGTAGGCGATTTCACAACGACTAAGAGCATTAAGATACTCTCCTAGCAGTGATCGTCACTGGTGGTTACCTCCTTGCGCGGCATGAAGTCTACAGGTGTGCGTCGCTGTGCAGTGTCCCAGAAATGGTGTCAACAATTCCATTGGCAGGGGAAATATTATAGTGGAATTCTTCTCGGCTGAAATGCTGCTAAGCGTTTGTAGATATCGCAGCTGGAATGACATAAAAAATATGCATTTATGGGAAATATAACGCTATTCTTGATTTTGAAATGATAATAGTAACGATATAGGGACATTCGTAACATATAGATTTGTTCGCGAAACACCCATACCATACCTGATGCGGTCGCGTCGAAAATACCTTGTGTTCAGAAATGCATCAAGCCAAAGCATCAGTCTCTTGTTTTTTTCTAAACTATAATTGATGGAAATGTCCAATATGCGCAACCATGATCAAATGCCGAATTGGAACTTAGTTGCGCAAATTAGGTCTTTCCATCTATTATAGTTTAGAAAAAAGAGGCTGATGCTTTGGGCAGATGCATTTCAGAAAACAGCCTAGGTTCCATTTTCGTGGAATTGTTAAAATGCTGGGTGTGTTCGAGCTACAAACGTACGTAAGAATTACCGCAATAATGCAATCTTGTTGCTTGATGATTTGCTACTGATGCTCAACTGAAGTTCTTCTGAAATGCTACAAAAGTTGCGCAGTACAAATTTGATGTCGATTTTGATTTTCCAGTAACGAGCAACTGATTGTCGAAATTTTGTTCCTTGGATTGCTTGATGTACGCAGAGTCGCCCACATTTTTGCGTGGAACGTGATGCTCATTAGTAACATGTACATGCGAAGAGGTGTTGGCTGGTGTGAGGACCTAGCTCGTATACTGGGCAGGTCTTTGAAATTTACGCTTTCATCCGAGAGAAATAGCCGTTGAATCAGTGGCACCACCTGTAACGAAGCTGGGTTCGGGTGGTTTTTGTGGGTCTGTCCTGACAGCATCGCAATTGGCATTGTTGGGCGCCGCTTTATATCATTACTAATTGAACAGAATGGACTTGGTCGAGTTGCATTCACAACCGCACTGTTACACGAATAATTGAAGTATCACGTCTGGTGTGAATTACTTACAACGTTCTGCAAATTTTCATCAGTGGTGTAGTATTGCCGCATTTATTACGTTCCTCGAACAGCCCCAATGTCTACATCCAGTACTATGTCCGCTCTCCAGTCTGTGGCGGATCACGCAGAAGCAGAGCGTTGCACAGTGGTCTGAATGGATTTCGCCGACCTAAACGGGGTTAGATCGCCGAAACAACAGCCCTTGGTCGGGTAAAACCCGAGTCATTCCGGTACGTAGAACCGGCTGTCGTAGAACCCCTGTCCCTATGGACAGCCCCTGTGGAAGTAGCACACTTCCTGGGACTCCCCCTAGCTGAAATTGACGACAACGTTGATGGATGAACCGCCCCGAACGGGACTTAGTAGCCGCTACAACAACAACAACAACACTGGTCTGAATAGATAATCTAGCTGGACAAAACTATTTCAATAGATTGGCGTTTATGAATTTATACCCCACTTTGTATCTACTAGTTAATGGGGCCACTGATTACAAATATTCAGTGAGGTTTCAAAAATCCAATATGGAGGACAAATTTTAAAAAATTTATTGAATTCGCTCTAAACTTGTTACTTGGGGGTTTATGAAAAGTGAAAATAATTTTATGGGTGTCGCAAAAGCGCGTCAAAAGAGTTTATTTTAACTTATGGTCAACACTTCACAGAATTGGATTTTATGAATCGAAACTCAGCGGAACTATGCTGTGAAATCATTTAAACTTTTAAATCGTGAAATATCCACAAGTTGATTTAAGTCTGTTTTGTTTTATTTGGTAGTGGGGCTTATATTTTTTCAATCTACAATCATTACAAAAAAAAAGTGATTTCACACAGCAAGGTGCTAGTACCTGAATGAGAAACTGAGAATGCGGAGGTAATGGTAATTCAATTCTGAAATAGCCTCCAGCCGGATCCCGATCATTGCCCACGGAAACACAGCACATGTTCGAAGCAATCGAGCCAGTGTTGCCACTTTGAAAATTGTTAACAAAATTGGTAGAATGACAGCCGTATTCTAACAAAGTCACAAACTTGAGCTCATCACTGCTGTGATTTCTACTGCGCCTCAAAGCTTGCCGCTGCAAAAAGTATGCCGCTACAATACAAATTTTTAAATTTTTGTGTATTTTTCAGCACTCAAAATCGAATTTTTTGTGACACATTTCTCGGCGCACTTGAAATCACAGCAGTGATGAGCTAAGTTTTGTGACTCTGTTAGAATAGAGGGGTAAATTTGGGTTGGTATAAGGTAAATTTTTTCTCATTTTGAACTGGCAAGCTTTGTACGGAAATCTATTTAACCAAAGTTATCACTTTATCAAATGATTTTGGTGGATAAATGTATAAATATCAGCAAAATTCACCCCTGACAGGTTGCCAGGTGGTCGCTTTTGTTACGAAAACATAAAAAGCAAATGAACACACTGGACGAGGTAAGAATGAAACGTAACTATTCATAATATAAGTTAAATATAAACAATTTTATGCAATTATTTACCGAGAGGCGTTCATGAAAGAATGCGGATAAACAGATAGATTTAAGCAATTAATCTCTATATAACTTTACATGAAGACCCACCCCTATTGTGTAATGCACATAGAGAATCTAAGTATTTGTTCATGCAATTATTTTCATCATAATTTAGTACGATTATCTACATATTTCGGGATGGCCCGTGCATGGTAACTTCAACAAAATGTTTGTTTGTTTCAACCACTTTTCGACAGAAAATTTTAAGCCTCGTGACGGATGTGCCCAATCTAAGCGAAACGCAGCAACGGCAGCAGTAGAGCGAGTAGTTTATCTGTCTAGTTCTCTAGGAACTAGGAAATTTTTTTACCTCCGTCTTCATGACTGTTCATATTTCCACTAAAGAGGATCCAAATTAAAGCAACAACCTAATATCTACATTTCTTAAAAGACCAGATATAATAATAATTCATGTAATGCTAAATTTTTTTGCAGTAAGGTATTTAAATCAATACACACTTATTAACTGCTCTGCTAATTCGATGAAATAAGTAAATTCACCTTTCGTATTATTATTTTTAAAGTGTTTAAAAAAATTCCTTAAAAAATATTAAAATTTCCAAAACAATAATTTGTTGGGGTGGCAGTGCTACTTGAGAAATTTACGAAAAGTAAAAAAGAAATTTATTTCATAAGCACATTTTATCAGGGACATAACAGTTATGTCTTATCGGAAAAACGTTGTTCCATAACAGTTATAAGATGAGAAATATTTTTTAGTTCGCCGATAAGAGTTATTTATAACCCAACGTTTATTTTTTACGTTGCTTGAAAACAGTTATTACCCAACGTTTATTTGTATGTTGTCTGATAACAGTTATTTCACTAACAGGCCCAGGGTCTTTTTC